AAACCATGAGCGAATCTGTCGATGCTAGGTTCGAAGCCCTAACCAGAGAGCTCGTCGACACCAAGGCCGCCATAACCGATCACTGCACGGCGTTGATGGAGGCCATCAACCAAAGGTTCGACGAACTCTTGAGGAATTTCCAAGGCCAGCATCCACCGCGCCACAACGATCGACCACCACTGTTCGACGCTCGACCACCTCCACATAGCGATCGACCACCCCCGCATGGTGCTCGACCACCGCCCCATGCGCACGACCAAGCTAAGAGAGAGTTCGAGCAATTCGAGCGCGAGCAGTAGGAGGAGTACGAGAGGCAATCGCAGGCCTCGAATCATCAAGGTCGCCCACGTATCGAGAAACCTAGGCTTGTGCTGCGCACGTTCAACGGAGAAAATCCCGACACATGGCTCAACCGAGCTGCACAATATTTTGACATCAACGAGACGCCTTGGTACGAGAGGGTCAAATATGCGGCCTATTATCTAGACGGAGAAGCCAATGTATGGTGGCAATGGTTCGTGAGCGTCTACCAAGGCAACCCGCTCCACATCCCATGGGAAGAATTTGAGCGCGAGCTACTTGCTCGATTTGGGTCGTCCGACTACCACAGCTACGATGAGGCGCTTTCACACATCAAGAAAACAGGAAGTCTCCGAGACTATATGAAAGAATTCGAGCGACTCGCCTGTCGGGTGCGCAACTGGCCAATCTCTGCGCTCATCGAGACTTTCATAGGTGGGCTCAAATTCGAGCTAGCCGTAGAAGTAAGGCTCGACCGACCACAGACCATACGCGAGGCCATGGAGTCTGCGCGAATAAGGGACGAACACTTAACGGCCACACGGAGGATCGGGCGAGAGATTGTGCGCAACATGGAGCAACGGCGCACGGACCAACACTTGGACGAGCGCGCAATCATAGGCAGCACACCATCGAATGTAAGCAACGTCCATCCCAACCCGCGACCGCCGAACAACTTTCGAACGCCACCTCCGGGCGTTAAACAACTCACGCTTGAGAAGATGAGACGCCGACGTAAGAAAGGTCTCTGCTATAAATGCGAAGAAAGGTTCACCCCAGGCCATCAATGCAAACAATTTTTTCTGATCGACGTCATTGAAGAGGACGAGGAAGAGGCCTATGAGGACCAACCGGTGCAGCAAGTGAACGAAGATTTGAAGATCTCGGTTAATGCAATGGCAGGTCTACAGGGACCGAGAACAATCCGACTGCCCGCCATGATCAAGGAACGGCCAATCGAGGTACTAGTCGACACCGGCTCATCTCATAACTTCATT